TTCTGCAGGACTTTAGATGTTCTGCAGGACTTTAGTTGTTCTGCAGGACTTCAGATGTTCTGCAGGACTTCAGATGTTCTGCAGGACTTTAGATATTCTGCAGGGCTTCAGGTGTTCTGCAGGACTTTAGATGTTCTGCAGGACTTTAGATGATCTGCAGGACTTCAGATGTTCTGCAGGGCTTCAGGTGTTCTGCAGGACTTCAGATGTTCTGCAGGACTTCAGATGTTCTGCAGGACTTTAGATGTTCTGCAGGACTTCAGATGTTCTGCAGGACTTCAGATGTTCTGCAGGACTTCACATGTTCTGCAGGACTTCAGATGTTCTGCAGGACTTCAGATGTTCTGCAGGACTTCAGATGTTCTGCAGGACTTTAGATGTTCTGCAGGACTTTAGTTGTTCTGCAGGACTTCAGATGTTCTGCAGGACTTCAGGTGTTTTGCATGAAATCATCATTTGAAGACAGCATTTTATATTTACTTCAGTTATTTTTTCTGATGTTTAAAATGTCTCTGAAGAACAACATTAGGTGTGAGAAGAAAACAAAGAGAGAAGACCTCTGTCAGTGGGTGAACTCTTTTTGACACATCTTCACTGGGATGTAAAAACTCACCTGCCAACCTGTCCAACAGTATTAAGCAGTTGTTATGTTTCAGCTCTGCTCTGATCCACTGACTGTAAGCTGCTGATTGTCAACCCCTTCATGTACAGAATGTAGCAGATCTTCCTTTTGTTTCCTGTGGAGCCTGATTTATTCTGAACCTATTACACAGACACAGAGATCTAATTTCTGGGTTTAGATCTTTGTCCAGGTGTGGCTGAGCCCACTGAGTGAGACAGAGGCTTCCTAAATTTGAATTATGCAAGAACTCAGTGCTTTAAGTCCAGCTGTAAGCAGAACAAAGGATGGGTCGAAAAGTCTTCCCGAGTCTTTAGTGTTTGAAATGACACCAACCCTTCTTCCAAAGAACACAAACTGCCAAAAAATCGGCTCATAAATGTGAACTTTTTTTCTTTCGTTTGACRTTTTGTGTAAGAACATGTTTTCATATTGCTTGTTTAATTAGTTTGTGAGGTACAAACCTTTGGTGTCTAATAAACGGTGTCATCCCAACTTCTGTTTATCTTATTTTAATTTTGGTCAGTTGTTTACTTTATAAGAAAAAAGAAAAAGAGCTCACTTTGTTGGAAAACCAAAACTTAACATCTTTTTTCTTATTTATCATAGTTATTTTTACTATTTACCCTCATTAATATCACGGTTTAAGCATATCCTGAATCCTGAAAGCAGTGATCAGGCTGTGAACTAGAAGCTAATCTGGCAGCTATTTTACACAAATACCTGTTTAATAAAAAACAAATAAACAACTAAATGACTTCATTCAGTTCCTGCAAGTTGTTTTGTTTTGTCGTGTTTTGAGAGAGATATACAGTAGATTTACTCAGAATATYTTCAGCATGCAACTGACAAAATATTAATAATCTAACAGTAAGGTCCTGTTATTAAGAAGGTAAATTATGTTGACAGTCTTGTATGAAGTGCCTCAAATGATACTTGAGTGTTAGTATTTTGCCCTAAACTTATTTTAGTAAAGGWTWGTCTCCTCTAAGAATCAGTGCTGGCTCTGGCCATTTTGGTGCCCTAGGCGACTTGAAGCCCCCCGCACCCCCATGTCCCACCCACCCCAATTTGAACCCCCTAAAAACAAGTTGGACAGTATCAGGT